TGGGAGGCTGTGTCCTGCTCTGAGTCTGCGTGCTTTCTTCTCTTCCCACCGTCGATGCTCCTTTTGCCATGTCAGTATGGCCTTGTCGATCGGTCCCCGGAACCAAGTGGGGAGGCATATGGGCTGTGACTCCTCTCCCTCCAAAGTAATGGATGCAGCATTAGCGATTTCTTCTTTCTCGGCGGAGCAATCAAGTTCTGGGACCTTTTGCAGCTGACACAGCTGAGCCAAAGCACCAGGTGTAGCTTCTAGCGCCCTACTGGCTTCATCAACGTTTCCTTCAAAATTCCACTCGGCTTGCTGCTCAATGGTTGTGAGCCCCCCTGGAAAGCCACGTCCACATCAGCAGCTTGCCGCCCTGATACTCTGCGATCTTTCTCAATGCCCAAGCATCAGCCCTCAAGCTTCCTTCAGTGCTGAGCCTCAGATGAGACATTGAGAGATAGTGTAAAGTGCAATGGTCACATTCTATTTGCATGGGTAAGGACTATAAATCTTCAGTGCACCAAAGAAGCAAAAGCAAAATCAGTGTACTTTACAGTACCGTAGTGTTGCCTTACCAAACAACATCAAAACATATCAAAACAAACAGCAACCCCAAAACACACAGCCAAACACATGTGAACCTTGAGTTTCCATCAACTGCCACCCCAAATTCTGCCATAGTCTTGCGCAAGACCAAAGAGCCAGACAAACCCATGGTCAACTTCAGGAATCCCCTCCTCAAATAGTGGAACCATTGATGCCACCCATCATTGGGCGCACCGGTTGCCGTCCAACCTCCGGGAATCACCGGCTTGTTCAACGTACTAGAGGTACTATTGTTTCCACCAGTCACAAAGACACAATTTGCCTCGCGTTCAAAGCGCTCCCGGATCTTTTGGTAGATCGATGTTGAGTGCACTGTGGCAGCGTCACAAAGCACCAATGCCTTGGCACTGAATGGCAATCCCAAAGCCACCCGTTTCCGCTTGATCTCTCCCTTGAGGTGTTCCAGGTATTGTAGTAGGGTGTCACCATTCCACATGTGCGATCTGTTGGCATGAGTCCTTGATATGTAGATCACACCCTCGAGTTCTTTGTTCATAGCTGCAGCAACCTTGTCAGACCTCAGAGGAGCATACAGTACTCTACTGTATATATTCTGTACAGTTCCCTTTGAATTTCTTTGTAGTAGTTTGGAAGGTTATATGCAGCATGCAGTGCTGCACGGTACAGTACAGCGACAGGCCTCCACTATATTCTAACTGCATTTTTCTGGCAAGCCTAGACAAAAGCAATTCTTCAAGACTGCACTGCACATGGGGTTGATCACAAAAGTGTGGAAACTAAGGCATGGACACAACATCTCGAGATGCAGTGACGTAGGCTTGGCCCATGGACCCATTGGCCCAGGTCAACGTCGTGGTTGTGCGTGCCACACGCGCGTGCTCCACCGGCACAAAAGTGCTGGCAGGTCCCAAAGCTGCCGGTTTGATCTCACCCTTCTTCTCAACAATAGCATCAGAATTGCCAGTCTCAGTGAGGTTGAGAGCGGACCTGATCTTAGCAAGCATTTGCGCCTGGGAAGGTTTGGAGTTGTCCGGGCGCATCTTTCCTTTGTCAGAACTGTCCTTGAACAACACAGTCTTTGGCGGCTCCCAATGCGTTGTCCAAACCTGATCAAAGTGACACATCAATCGGCCACCTACCTTGTGAGTGGCGATCATCATCTGAACCCATTCTCGCGCCATTGCCATTGATGGGTGGCTGTATGCAAGGTGCCGGGTAGCTCGTTTTGCTAGCTTGGATGACCGGATTCCCAGCCTGTTGCACAAACGATGTGTTGCCCTCCTGAAATGCCGGGAGCAAACAGCAATCGGATGAATATTATATATATAAATATCAATTTACTGTAGTGGTAAAGTACAGTAAGAGCAACAATTGTCATAGTCTAGCTTCTGGTCCAACACTATTTACGAAAGAAACAAGCACTTAGAATATGGTACAGTACAGTACTGTTCTGAAGCACATGCCAAGGCTCATGCATGATGCATGGTTCAAACATTGATAGAATATCATTGATAGAATATCATTGATAGAATATCATTGATAGAATATCATTGATAGAATATCATTGATAGAATATCATT